GTTGGCAGCGACCCGACTATACAATGTCGAGTGCTGAACCCACTGTGGCGGAGGGGGAGCGACGGAGAGAGATCATCCCAACCAGTGAGGCAGATGAAGGTGAGGAACTGACAATCAAGGTAGTGGTCCCAACCAGACTTCGGCCGGAGGCAACGCCTTTCGTGCCCGAGGTGGTCGCCCAGGACGGACAAGAAAAGGAGATGGTCAGGCCAGCCCCACATCTGGATGAGGTGAATGCGAGGGACGAGGCATCGGACGAGGATGACTCTTGGATCAACCCAGAACCACCAGCGGAGCTGCGGAGGTCAACCCGTCAACGACGACCCGTCGAGCGACTCAACCTGGCGCATCAAGTGGTGACCAGTACCAGCACTGGAGCCTCTACCGGTTTGCCGGGAATAATCTATCTGAGTTGAAAGGACTTAATGTCTGTGTACTTGTGTACTGAACTTTTTTTTAAAGTATGAGTTGTAAATGTAAATGTAAATGGGAATTCCATTGTACATTTATTTGTGAGGGGGGCTGTGTAACACATATTGGTTACCAGCCAAAGGGGGATAAAACTATGAAGTTTTTATTCATTGGGTTGCGGCCCCTGTGGGACTGCAACTGAACTGTTGACGTTTTTTTATGCTTTTGTGAGCGAAATTACCTGTGTTCCATGTCATGTGACATGTGCCTAGCCGCGTCGCACACGCAAGGCTGCTGTCTGTGGACCAAGATGTAGACCTAATGAAGGTAGTGTAGATATTTAAATTATGTTTGTTAAAATACTTACTTATGTATTCCTGCTAGTGCTGCATGTGCACACTAGTTAGGGTGATGTATTAAATTAAGTATTTATTTTGTAGTACTACTTATTGGTACTTGTTGGCAGTACTGTGTACTGGCCGAAAACATAATTTATTGTACCCGTGTATATTGTAGCTTACACGTGGTGTTGTCCTGAATGTAACTTTTTTATTTTACATTTGTTTTAGGGCTACAGTTCTTTTGATCTTTTGGTTTTTTGATCTTTTGGTCAAAAGTTCGTTTTGTACTAATGTGTTGCATCGCCGTCATGGCTCGATGCTATAAATAAACGAGTACTTGACAACAACTGTCGGTGTCGGTGTTACTTAATCTCAGGGTCAGCCCGTCTTAAACCACAACACCTCAGTGGGTAAAAGCATCCCCACTGAGTGAGGGTTACACATCACTTGCACCCCGTGAGGGATATCTGTTGACGCTCTGACCTCACATATTCCTGTCAGCGTTTCTTCCTCATCGCCCGGTCTCTCGTAAGGATTCCTTGATAAGGCGTCCGCATTGCCATTGGACCGCCCCGGGCGATATTTTATCTCCAGGTCAAAGAGTGCCAATTCTGCTGCCCATCGCTGTTCGATGGATCCCAACTTTGCTGTCTTTAGGTGACTCAAGGGGTTATTGTCAGTGTATACCACACATTTAGCACCTAATAGATAGTCCCTGAATTTTTCAGTCACAGCCCATTTTAATGTCAAAAGTTCTAGTTTCATGGCGCTGTAATTTGTCATGTTCTTCTCTGATTCCTTCAGAGCTCGACTGGCATACGCAATAACCCTGAAACCTTGCTTTTGTTGTTGTGATAGCACAGCTCCCAGACCTTTAGAGCTGGCGTCAATTTCTAGCCGAAATGGTTTGTCAAAGTCTGCGTATCCTAATATCGGCGTCTCTGTCAAAGCCTTTTTCAGTAGCTTAAACGAGTTCAGGCATTCATCAGTCCATAATTCACCTATCAGTTGTGTTTTGCCTTTCTTTTTCTCCTTACTGTGTTTCTTTGTCATTTTGTTTCTTAAGTCATGCAACGGTGCGGCAATTTTTGCAAAACCAGGTACAAAGTTTCTATTTTCTTCTTCAGATAACAGACACTCTAAAGATGAACATTTCTCCTGTGTTTTTAATTTGCGTGAACTTTCCCTATCCAGTTTCATGGTTAACCTTGAGATCTCATTATTAAGTCTACCAATTTCTTTCCTATCATCATTTTTCTCTGCCAACAAATTGTTCACTTGAAACTTTTCAACATTCAAGTTCATTTCACAGTTCATTTTTTCAATATCTGATAATTTCTCTTCGAGTCTTGTTTGAGACTCTTTCATTGTTTGTTTCCTTTTGTTTCTTACGCCATAACCTCGCCGCTCTGTAGCCCTAACCTGCCCTACAGAGGGCGATCGTTTCACCGGACAGTACCGTGCCATATGTCCGGGTTGTGAACAGGACAAGCAAATTGGTCGACCGTCGGCCGTCCACCGGAGCGATGGACCGGCGGGTCGCGGCCGTCCAACCTGTCTCTGTTTTGGCCCGTTCTTTTCCTGATTCTCAGCTGTTGACCTGCTCTCTAACCTCTCCAATCGTTGGTCAACCTTATCCAGGTGAGCCAACAGCTGAGCCATCATGGTTTCCACCGTGCCGGTCCCTGTGGGTGGGGATTGTTTCTGTTCCGGCACAGAGACTTTGTCCACCGAACAGTTCGATTGGTCCTCATCCTCGGACCTGCGGATCGCTGAGTTCCTGACCTGAAGGAAGGTCAACTGCGGGTCTTTGTGGACCTCCTCTTTCAACTCTCTCCTTAAGATCGGGGTTGCTAGCCCCTCGATGAAATGGTCCCTCAGTAGGCGTACATCAATGTCAGGTGTTTTGCCCTTTACCGAATCAAAGGCCCTGTTCATTCGGTGTGAATACTCCATCACACTCTCCGCCATTCTCTGCTTCAAGCCTACTAACACCGTTAGCAGTTGCGATCCCGACCGTCTCTCCCCAAAGGTCTCCATAATTAGATCCAGCACCTTATCTGGATCTGATTGGATGGTTTTATCGTGGCATTTGACCTCTGCCCTAACCGTCTCTCCTATACTGCCCATCAGCAGTCTTAATCTTTCCTCTGGTGACATGCATCTCGAGGCCCAGGCCGCTTTGACCTCTTCACTGAACCTGTTGGTTAAAGCTGGATCACCGTCCCCGTAAAATGTGTTAATGTGGGACTCTCTGGGCAGGACCACAATATGGGTCTGCTTCTCGTCCAGAGTAGACATTTTATTCCTTGAGTAAAAAAAGAAAAGAGTTCTTTCTTACCGTGTGTGTATGAAAAATTTTCCTCGTTCCTCAATTTTCACTGTTCCTGAATGTTCGAATTCACACACACACTAAACACAGTTATTAACAAGGTTGACTATGGGTGCCTAAAGCGGCAAGTCTAGTTGAATTCATCCTGTCCGACGACGCCAAATGTGACCTAGGCTACTCGCAGCGCCAAATGTGACCCTGCTCGCAGCGCCAAATGTAACGAGACTATTTGCCTGTAGTGCCAAATGTTAACGAGTTCTGCTCGACAACGCCAAATGTTACCGAGTCTAACCACTCATTCTACACAACATCGACCACAGTATAGAGACTCGAAGATGCAGGTTCGCTATTGATCCTTTTATTACATGAATCAAAGAAATGCTTCACAATAATATACGGAATCAAAAGGAATGCTTCACAATAATAGTTTGAATCAACTGACTCCCAACAGTCCTCACTAGTCTTCATATAACTGAATACACATGTCTATCGTCCTTCTTAACACAATATAACCAACTTGATACTGCCACACAGACTGACTGATCGAGAGCGCGAGAGAGAGAGAGAGACTGAGCCGTCGCCTTCCTTATATCCCCTTCGTATCCGTAGTCGTATTCGGTTCTATCATAATCGTAATCGTAATCGATTCTAATTATTGCATCAGAATGTTAATTACGCCGCTTCTGTCGTACAGTCCGATTTAATATAACATCTGCACTGTTTCGTCAGCCAAGTCGTGTCAAAGTTGACAGCGCTTGTCGTATCCTTCCAAACTACGCCGTGGCTTTATGATCGTTATCAGTTGGCTTATCAGTCCAACACCTGCACTATCGCGTTCTCAACAATAGTGACTAGTAACTAGGCCCACCCTAGTTACATATATATATATATATATATATATATATATATATATATATATATATATATATATATATATATATATATATATATATATATATATATATAAACACACTGCAACCAAAAAATAATGAACGCGGCATAATCTGTTTCGTAATTTTTGTAAAAAAACTACATAATAATTCCTGGGACATCTAAGACGAGAGAAAAGGGGAAATAATCAATATCATAATATAAATATGTATATGTCTATACATTTTATTATAAATATCAAAACAAATAAATAATTACTTTAGAATCTAATAAAATAGCTTAACACTATTCGTTTTTACAAAAATTATTTGTCTAAAATCAGAATTAAATATATTGTCATTATAAATGCTAAAGTATTACAGCATAATGAAAGTTTTTTAAATCAGAGTTGTTATAAAAGCCAGCTTTTCACTCTACAAGGTTCGGAATAATAGCCTACATATAACAATTATATCGGTCTTACATTTCAAATCATGCAATTTTTTAAAATTGCTACTGACAATTTGTGTTTTTTAAAGATAATTTTTTAACATAATGAGAAGGTATGGGTTAGATCACTGTATTGCTCACACACCTTTTACTGGTAATTGAAAAAACAATATTCACAGATATTTACGTTTCAAATGTGCCGACCAAAGATAATTTTTTAACAAATATCAATGTTAAAAACTTTGAGTTTAAAAAGTTTCCAAAAAGGCGCCACTTTGCTAAAAATGGCCAGAGGGGGAGCGGCCGCTCCCCCTGCTCCCCCCCTGCGTACGCTACTGCCTAGTACTTTTTATATTCGCCGATTTTAAACACACATGAGGTCTGGCCGAGGGTGCTATTAGCAAAACGTCATTTCGACTACAGCGAGGCTTTGACCGCGGGTGGTTTATCTACCGATAGTTAGTGATCTGACGTGTCTTCTATGTATACCGCGCCTGTTATAATTGATTATAATATATTTTTTTGGTCGAATGTCTATATTAGCAAGAGACGAAACTACTGATTGAAATCATTAGCACGTGTTTGTTTCCTTGCAGTGACTTGGGTAAAGCTACTGAATGTGCTGTCGGGATGTGCTTAAGGATAAACCCATATCTGGCTGAGAGCTTTGTTGGTTTCATTAGAAGTCAAATGGAAAAATATCAACACACATGCAGTAAGCTCATTTATTTTTGGGGTATAGTCCTCAAGTTCCAGTTTTATTAAATTAAATTTAAATGCTTTTAAATGCATATTTAAATAATAAGAAACTTAACACTTTTAAAACGTCAGCAAGTATTCTTTATAACCGTTATTTTGAGAAAATTTTAAAAGACAAAAACTATTTTAGATGCCATGACACGTTGTATTTATTATTTGCACTGCGCCTTAAAATAAATTATATTTTTTAAGAGTTAAATTATATACAAATTTCCATTTAGCTAATTACAGTTGATTGTGTGTGACATGTTTTTTAATCTATAGACGTTTAATTTTGTCATTTAGTTATCTTGTGATTTGTGCATCTCACCTTCTTACAAGAATCAATAAATTTGAAAAATATACGTATCAAGTCCAAATGAGACTAAATCATTTGCCGTTACCTTTACGGCCTCGTAGTTGGTCAGAAGAAATAATATATCGCAATACTTGTTCGAAGATTCGTAGAAGAAAACTAAGCACTGAATAAAATTTTAATATCAACACATATCTCCCCCCCCCCCCCCCCCACGTGTCCGTTCTTCTATCTCTCTAAGAAACTAATCGACCTGATCAAACTTATTCACCAGCTAATACAACACATGAAACTAAGTCACCAGATGAAACTTATTCACTCGATGAAACTAATTCACCCGATGAAACTGATTCCCCCGATGAAACTAATTCACCAGATGAAACTAATTCACCCGATGAAACTAATTCACCAGATGAAACTAATTCACCAGATGAAACAAATTCACCAGATGAAACTAATTCACCTGATGAAACTAATTCACCCGATGAAACTAATTCACCAGATGAAACTAATACACCAGATGAAACTAATTCACCAGATGAAACTAATTCCCCAGATGAAACTAATACACCAGATGAAACTAATTCACCTGATGAAACTAATTCACCAGATGAAACTAATTCACCAGATGAAACTAATTCACCAGATGAAACTAATACACCAGATGAAACTAATACACCTGATGAAACTAATTCACCAGATGAAACTAATTCACCAGATGAAACTAATTCACCAGATGAAACTAATACACCAGATGAAACTAATACACCAGATGAAACTAATTCACCAGATGAAACTAATACACCAGATGAAACTAATTCACCAGATGAAACTAATACACCAGATGAAACTTATTCACCAGATGAAACTAATACACCAGATGAAACTAATTCACCTGATGAAACTAATTCACCAGATGAAACTAATTCACCAGATGAAACTAATTCACCAGATGAAACTAATTCACCAGATGAAACTAATTCACCAGATGAAACTAATTCACCAGATGAAACTAATTCACCAGATGAATCTAATTCACCAGATGAAACTAATTCACAAGATGAAAGTAATTCACCTGACGTAACTAATACACCAGATGAAACTAATTCACCAGATGAAACTAATTCACCAGATGAAACTAATACACCAGCTAAAACTAATTTACCAGGTGAAACTAATCCAACAGATGAAATTAATCCAACAGATGAAATTAATTCACCAAATGAAACTAATTCACAAGATGAAACTAATTCACCAGATGAAACTAATTCACCAGATGAAACTAATTCACAAGAAGTAACTATTCCACATTTGATGAAATTAATTCGAATGATGAAACAACAAATTCACCAGATGAAACTAATCCACAAATGAAATGAATCCACAGGAGGAAACTAAATGAAACTAATCAACAAGATGAAACTTATCCACAAAATAAAACTCATTCATCAGATTAAATTAATCCGAAAGAAAAAAAAAAACTGAGATAAAAGATTATGCATTTGGATGATATTAATCCCCTAGGTTGAATTCAGTCAACTGACCCAATTGTAAAATATTTTGTCCAAAATTGTTTTGGGTTTTATTTTATTTTGTAAAATTAAACTCAATCCTTATCAAAAACACATTGTAGTACCTTAATCTTGTAACAAGTAAAAATCTGGTTTGTTATCGATGCAGACTGTATGCATGTGCAGTTGCATTTTACTACGAATATCAGTAAATTTTAGCAGAAATATTAAAAAACAAATCGAAACAGCTCATACAGCATTCTGTTGCAAGAAATATAAAGTAACGTCCCATAGAGTATTTTTGCCACAAAGCATTGTCGTGGCAACAGCCCAAAGCATTGTCGTGGCAACAGCCCAAAGCATTGCCGTGGCAACAGCCCAAAGCATTGTCGTGGCAACAGCCCACATAGCATTGTCGTGGCAACAGCCCATAGCATTGTCGTGGCAACAGCCCATAGCATTGTCGTGGCAACAGCCCATAGCATTGTCGTGGCAACAGCCCACATAGCATTGTCGTGGCAACAGCCCACATAGCATTGTCGTGGCAACAGCCCATAGCATTGTCGTGGCAACAGCCCATAGCATTGTCGTGGCAACAGCCCATAGCATTGTCGTGGCAACAGCCCATAGCATTGTCGTGGCAACAGCCCATAGCATTGTCGTGGCAACAGCCCACATAGCATTGTCGTGGCAACAGCCCACATAGCATTGTCGTGGCTACAGCCCATATATCATTGTCATGACAAAAGCCCATATAACATTGTTGTGGCAACAGCCCACAACGTATTACCTCCTCTCGTACCACTGGATTCATGTGTAGTAGAAAGCCAGTATTTTATTTTTATTCGTTCAAAACTCTGTCTAAACTAATCATTAAAACTGAGTTATTTACTTTTCTATTACAAAAGATATGCCATTTTTTAAACATAGCATTTTAGATTAATTTAACCCATCTAAGAGAGAAAACTCCAAAATCAAACAACTGCTGCCTTGTAGGTTTGTTCTTTGGTGGACAAAGGCTATGAAAACGAGTCCAGAGAGAAAACAGGTTGAAATAAGAGTCAACGACCTACATGAAGCCTTACAACTTTGAAACCTTATACTTAATTGTGTTATAGGAAATCCCTTCCAATTAAGAACGAAGAAGATCAAATTTGATGTATTATTCTGAAGAAGCTGTAACCACCATATCAACCTGTACTAAATGCATCACAGAGAACCGTGTTATTCTATAGAGGCAATTTGTGAAAATCACACTAAAGCACATGTTGAGGTTTACGTTGCTTTCCGAATTTTTCCTTGGTTCATGTTTTTACGACGAAATTAATTGAAACAAGAGTACGGTATACAAAGTCAGGAAACAACACCACAAGGGCAGGGGCATGACAAAGTCCTAAATCCAAAGTCAGTGGAGAACACAACTAGATAAGGGAGCATAGCATTAAGGTCAGGGGGGCTTAACAACAAAGTGACGGGCATAACATCAAGGTGAGGGGGTATAACATCAAGGTGAGGGGGCATAACATCAAGGTGAGGGGGGCATAACATCAAGGTAACGGGCATAACATCAAGGTGACGGGGCATAACATCAAGGTGATGGGCATAACATCAAGGTGAGGGGGCATAACATCAAGGTGAGGGGGCATAACATCAAGGTGAGGGGGGCATAACATCAAGGTAACGGGCATAACATCAAGGTGACGGGGCATAACATCAAGGTGAGGGGGCATAACATCAAGGTGACGGGCATAACATCAAGGTGAGGGGGCATAACAACAAAGTGACGGGCATAACAACAAGGTGACGGGCATAACATCAAGGTGAGGGGGCATAACAACAAGGTGAGGGGGTATAACAACAAGGTGACGGGCATAACATCAAGGTGAGGGGGCATAACATCAAGGTGACGGGCATAACATCAAGGTGAGGGGTATAACATCAAGGTGACGGGGCATAACATCAAGGTGAGGGGGCATAAAATCAAGGTGAGGGGGCATAACAGCAAGGTGAGGGGGCATAACATCAAGGTGACGGGCATAACATCAAAGTGACGGGGCATAACATCAAGAGGAGGGGGCATAACAACAAGGTGAAGGGGCATAACAACAAGGTGAGGGGGCATAACATCAAGGTGACGGGCATAACATCAAGGTGACGGGGCATAACATCAAGGTGAGGGGGCATAACAACAAGGTGAGGGGGCATAACATCAAGGTGACGGGCATAACATCAAGGTGAGGGGGCATAACATCAAGGTGAGGGGGCATAATATCAAGGTGAGAGGGCAAACGTCAAGGTGACGGGCATAACATCAAGGTGAGGGGGCATAACAACAAGGTGAGTGGGCATAACATCAAGGTGACGGGCATAACATCAAGGTGACGGGGCATAACATCAAGGTGAGGGGGCATAACAACAAGGTGAGGGGGCATAACATCAAGGTGACGGGCATAACATCAAGGTGAGGGGGCATAACATCAAGGTGAGGGGGCATAACATCAAGGTGAGACTGCATAACGTCAAGGTGACGGGCATAACATCAAGGTGAGGGGGCATAACAACAAGGTGAGGGGGCATAACAACAAGGTGAGGGGGCATAACATCAAGGTGACGGGCATAACATCAAGGTGACGGGCATAACAACAAGGTGAGGGGGCATAACAACAAGGTCGGGGCATATAAACAATATATAAACATATTTTTTAAATACTTTTAAAAAACCTTTATAATAACATGCCTTTTTGAAAAAAGTAAAACAAACTTAATATATTTAATAAAATCTTTCGTCTCTAAAATATGGAAGAGATTTAATAAGCGCCTAATGCTTTTATTACAGAAAGCAAGTTTGTTTTATTTTCTCCGGGTAGATGACGTTACTTTCCGGTAGGATATCTACCCTTGGTGACTCCCCCTACTTATAAATGAGCGATTGCAAGCCGGTCATTCTGATATACAGCAGGCTAGGCTTGGTCGCTTGGTTAAGAACTTATAGGCATGTTTCAGGAGGGAATTTTTTCGTAAATTTATATTTTTTCGGGCACACATACCTTCTTCAAATGCACAAATATGTATGAAAATGTTAATTTACAGTTTAAACGATAGCGGTATTAGGTTAATAAGATGTTAATGTATAGAAATAAAAAATAGAAAAAATAGAAAAAAATAAAATAAAATAGAAAATCAAGCTGAGTACGGTGCTGCACCCCGTTAATCAGGGCAGCAGCAGTTGATTTTGGTCCGCCCCGGGTATTTTATGTCCCCGGTACCCACCTGATGTGGTGGGCGCTCCCCTATCCGCCACCCGGGGAGGCGCTCGATTGGAGATCACGTACTCCACATGAGAAATGATGTGACGATACATCGAAAAATCTATCGAGTTGGATTGGTTTGTGGCCAATACCATGGATATTACCCACAGGGGTAAGATCCAATGGTGGAGCTACCCAAAGGGGTAACATCCAATGGTGGAGCTACCCAAAGGGGTAACATCCAATGGTGGAGCTACCCACAGGGGTAACATCCAATGGTGGAGCTACCCACAGGGGTAACATCCAATGGTGGAGTTACCCACAGGGGTAACATCCAATGGTGGAGTTACCCACAGGGGTAACATCCAATGGTGGAGTTACCCACAGGGGTAACATCCAATGGTGGAGTTACCCACAGGGGTAAGATCCAATGGTGGAGCTGCTGTCCTGTACACTCGCTAGGCTGAGTTCGTCACTCCGCGTTCTGTCAAGGATGTACCGTTCTCAAATGATAAAGCCAGGGTCTTCCATAATACATTATTTCACAACTGTTTTTCAGTCGGGTTTAATGGACAGTACCCCAATCGGTGGAGTATTACCGAATATCCTGTCTTGTAAGCAGCGCTATCTGACCGATAGGAGATAATTCTTCACCATTTAATGATCAGTAACTTTGCGGATTTCCGGAGCGACGAATAGATACTAAAGGGCACTCGATATCTCGAGGGCGCTCTAGCGGTCGTAATGCTGTAGGAAAATCCTTTCTTGTATGAAGCGCTATCTGAATGTTGGGAATTAATATATACCTCCCTTAAGGATCAGAAAATTAGCGTTCTTATATGGATCTTCCGAGCCACAAATAGAGACACTAAGGGGCTTTCCGGAATTCGACATCTCGAAAGTCCTGTAGCGGCCATTGTGGTGTCGGAAAATCCTTTCTTGTAAGTATTTCCTATCTGACCAGTTGGAGAATGTCAGGCCTCCACTAGTCATGAGAGAAAACCTTATCAGAATATTCAGGTGTTTTTTTTCAACCACAGATACATGATCTTGACACTGTGATAACAGGAAAACGCAGACAATGCATCTTCTCGCTGGCCTAGACGACATGTTCCGCTCCAGCTAACCTCGAGAGCAATGGTGAGCATTCAAAGTACATAGGGGTGAGCATCGGTGCGTGAACGGACGTCAGGATAAGTAGCCTTAGCTGACGTCACAACTCGAACACAAATAGCCACTAAAAACTTTTGAAGTCACGTAGGCCTACCTGCATCGCTCAAGCGACGAGCATTTGAAAAACGTTGAGAACGTTTAATAGGAAGAAAGTTAACGATCCTCCAAGAAGACATTGTCTTGGGCATTTGTTTACTTTTATTTTACTTCCGGGTATACTCTCACCACAAGGAGGCGAAGAAATTTTTCACACTAATAACATCCGGTCCATTGAATCAAGGCGGGCTGGCTTATTACATACAGATCAAAGTTAGCGACTGTCTGCAATCCCACCAACCCACCAACCCACCAAATTTGGGCTTGACAAGTCCGCCGTTACGCCAATTCCGATGTTTCTCAGAAAATAAATCTCGTTTGATCGTGCTGAGTGTATCACAGCTTGTTTCGATATTTAGACCTTGACATTGAAGGAAACAAATGGCGGCGGCTTGTTTACTTCCGGGATTGCTAATGGAGGCAGATGAGTTTGGTGAGATGGGTTCCATCATTATTGTTGAGACGGATAAATTAAAAACAGTGTTTTTAGCAATTTTGTCTTCATAGCGGCCGTAAAAAAAAAAAATCATCTTAAAAATTTTCGAAAATTTAATATTTTATTAATCATTAAAATATAAGTTGAAAATGTATAAATTGATAAATCTCAACGTTTTGCACCTTCCAAGAGTCGCAAAAACTCACATCTTGTGTGTGTGTGTGTGCGTGCGTGCTTGCTTGCGTGCGTGCGAATGCGTGTTCGTGTGC